AAGTACCTTTTTTTAATTGCAATTTTTTTTAAAAGCTGTTCTTCTTCCCTCCCTATTTTATGCCTGAGTGCATTTCTGAATGCTTATGAGTCAAGGTGCTCTACCCTATGATTGTTTGTTTGTTTGTTTGCAACACAAGTTGTTGTCCTTTTTGGAAATTTACTCATCTTACTACAAAAGTGTTTCAATCATAGAGGCAGTGGGAATGTCATATTCCATTAAATTTACATCATCTGCCTTCTAAAATAATATTTGGATTTCCACACTTGGACAGAATGTGGAAAATTCCACAAAATGAGACTAAAGATATGTCTGTAAAGAACTGTATACTTGGTCTCTCCTCTTCTTAACCTCAGAAACAAAGGACTGCTAGCTCAAACCATAACTCTCGAATTTGCTGTGGGTGATTAGGTCCTGATAAAACCTGACATGAGAAAAAAGCTTAGCCAAGCCTGGAGCAGACATTCCCAAGCCTGACTGACCATCTTACCAGCAAGCCGAGCCTAATGCCATCCAGCAGACATGAAAGAAAGGACCCTGAGATGGACAAGTAAAGACCAAAAGACTCTTTTCAATCCCCAGAAAACAGCTGTAAAGACTATGGGGGAAGGTGGAAATTGATTGTAAAGTTTTCTTTCTTTGCATCCTTCACAGAAATTCATTGTAAGGTTTTCTTTCTTGTCTCATTTGTATTGTAGTCAGTTTAATGTACTCATGTAAGAATTGTATTTGAGAATGGCTAACACGGCTAGTTCTGAACACCTTAGATTTCTGTCTAGTGGGAGGGAAATTTATCCAAAAATGTCAGTATTTTCTGTATTGTAGAAGTAGCTATTCCCCATACACACACACAGACACACACACACACACACAGCCTAGAGAGTTGCCCCTGCATAGCCCCCTGGGAGTCTGACAACCAATCAGAATGCATTTCTTACACAGGAACAGGAAACAGATAGTGGGGCCAAACAGATTATAAAAAAACCTGCAAGCCCCTTCTTCGCTCTCTTCTTCTCCACCCAACATTGAAGCATGTGATCACCTTTTCTGTTCAGGACTCAAGCCATATGGTCCTGTCCACCATTAAACCATCTTTCCAAGCAGTCTCCATGTCTCCAGTGTCTTTTTCCCCACTTGGAGCCGAACCCAGAAGGACATTTCTTTCAACATGAGAAAAGGAAAAACATGCTCTTGGAAAGCAGCCCCCACCTTTGTTAATAGCCCCAGGAAGACTGGGTCATCTTATCTACAGAACAAAAGTCCTTCAACTCCAGAGTGATAGGATTAGCCTTCACTCAAGATCCAAACCAGGACAAAGCCATTAAGGAATGGAATTGCCCAACACCCTTACAGAACACAGGCCTTTTCATTACATCACCCAGCACAGTTCAACCAAGCTTCACTCAGAAAATGTACAAGATTAGCTGTGAGCCCTACAGCAGCCAATAGCCTGCCACAGGGAAGCTCAGATTCAAAGCCCAAGACAGGAGATATGTTTAACCTAAAAATATGAGTTCCAAATGTAGTTATAAAAGAAGAGACAGACATTGTGATCTCCAGAACTTAAAATATATTATCCACTTGGATTGTTAGCTTCTGCTAACATCGTCAGAGTGTAAA